CCTAATGTCTCTCTGGTCTAGCGATGGTCGTTTCTTCTTGCGATGTGTTTTTTTATTTTTGACGTCCATAGCTAGTATCTTCTAGATCCAGTTTCATCAGTAAATGTGAAAATTAGGAGAAGAGGCTGGTCCTTTTAGCAGTGCTAGCTGAGCATAAATCTTTCACGGCAGTCCGCGGGCTTCTCGCAAGGCAGCGGATTCGTTGCAGCGATCGACCATTAGAGCGGCATGCAAGTTAATTGAACAAGGCAGAGTAAAATGTTTGTTCAGAAAGTAGGTGTTCCTTCTACGTTCTTTGGCTTATTTGCTTAGAATGCAGTGTGAACACCCCACAGCTGAGACATTCTGCTCATGCAGATATATTCAGACGATGAATCACAATAAGCGTACAGCGCAGTCCAAAATGGTGGATGCGATTGTATCACGTGAATTTTCCTAAGGTCAAAATTTGTTATCTGGTTGGAACCTCTAGATTGCAGCTATAGGAGTTGTCCTTAGCTTTCACTTGAAATGAGCTGTCGACGAACTTTTTGGCTATAAAAATTTTCCTTTCTGTCCAAAGCTATATGTCAGCAAATTATGCTCATGAGGCAGTCGACGAAACTCAATTAGGCCTTATTATCGAGAATGCACTAGTAGGTTATATTTTGCTAGTAACCGTTGTTACGGTAACTCACGAAAAACTGCTGCAACAAACACGAATACGGTTTTGATTTTTGTAATTTCATTGGTGCACATATTTATTCGGCGATTATTTTGCTGGTCGCTTTCAGGCAGACATCTTCAAAGATTATTCCAAAGATATCGACAAGGAAAAAGCGGATTACAGCGTGAAGATGTCCGTCAATCGTTGCTTCTTCGACGAGAACTATTCGAAAAAGCGCTGCATCACTTGCCTTGACTTCTCTCCCCAGTACCCTGAGCTTCTTGCCGTCTCGTACGACAACAACGAAGATGCACCACACGAGCCCGATGGCATCGTTCTTGTCTGGAACACTAAGTTCAAACGATCTACGCCAGAGTAAGAACATATTTTAAGTTTCAAGCGAAGTTTTTAATGGAGATGTTCACTTTGCTGTGAACGCTTTCATCTTAATTTTCATGAACATGATCTTCTTTAATTACTATTCATCGTTATTTTTTCCTCTTCACTTTCCTTTTGTTTTTTCTTTTCAATTTCTTCTCTTTCCTATTTTCCACATTTTCCACATTTTCTTTTCATTTGTGTCTTTGCTTTATTCTTCCTTTGCACTTCATCGTTGACGTTTGTTTTCATTCTTTTCTAGTTTCCTCTTCTTTTTCATCCTCCTCTTATTTATTTTCTCTTTTTCTCTTTCCTTTAGTTCATTTTCCCTTGTAATGCCCATCATTTTCCTCTTTCTCTCTCGTTCCTTCGTGTCATCTTCTGATTTCCTTTATTTTATTTCGTCTTCTGTTCGCTCTTTTCTTTTTTCGTATCTGTTTTTTCTGTTCCTTTTATCTTCTTTGTCTTTTTCTCGTCCAATTTTTTCTGTTTTTCCTTCCTTTTGTTCTTTATTCGTTTTTATATTCTCTTCATACCCTGTCCTGCTTTGTTATGCATAAGGTTGGCTTGTTTCAGATTTTACTTTCACTCTCAATCACGAGTGATGTCGGTTGCGTGGGCGAAGTTTCATCCAAACCTGTTGATCGGCGGCACGTACAGCGGGCGAATCTGCCTCTGGGATAACCGGAACAATAAACGAACGCCGGTGCAGAAGAGCTCGCTGTCGGCCAACGCCCACACGCATCCGGTCTACTGTCTGGACGTTGTCGGTACTGGGTTAAAGTCAATGATATTTTGAATAAGCGTTACACAGCGACTAATGCTGAAGGAACGTCCAACGCCCACAACCTGGTTTCGATTTCGACCGACGGCAAGCTGTGTTCCTGGAATCTCGACATGCTGTCAGAACCGCAAGAATCATTCATGCTGCAGATGAAGCAGAGCCGGCCGGTACGTGCAAGGAAATTTTGGCTTTCACAGATTTGATGTGCATTCGCTAGGCGGAAAATCCTTAAGGATCGTTTCGATTGGGTAGCTCTAGCTAAAAATTTAATGTCATCCACGGTTTAGCTAGTAATATGTCCTTTCTTTTGGTGAGGGGGGGGGTAGGCAGCACGACGACGCTCAATCTCGCTTTAAAAATAACTGTTGAGGAGTTTCTAATACTTAGGCCCTATTATCTAGTTAAGGCACTATATCCCAAGCAGACTTTTTAATACATGATCATCTCTGACAATTTTTCTTTATTCTTGCCTCATTAATCCATCGACTTCCTGCAACAATCATCTCATGACCATACTTTGTTTAATGAAGCACGTTTATTTCTTAGGTCTCGGCGATGTGTTTGTGTTTCCCTCTGAATGACGTGAACAACTTTTTCGTCGGCGGTGAAGATGGATGCATGTATGCTGGATGTCGTCATGGCAGTAAGGCAGGAATTACTGAAATCTATGAAGGCCACTTCGGCCCAGTAATGGGAATCGATTGCCATGCCGCCACCGGTGGTTCTGTCGATTTCAGCAATATCGTTTTGACATGCTCTGCCGACTGGACAGTCAAATTGTGGAACACCAGGGTAGAGGGTGCAAGTTGAAACTGTCAGCATATCGAAATGTTACAGGAAATATTTTCAGGATCAGAAACCACTGTATTCTTTTGAGGATCATAATGACTATGTGTACGACGTCGCATGGTGTCCGATTCACCCAGCTATATTTACTTGCGCGGACGGATTGGGCCACCTCGATCTTTGGAACTTAAATCTCGACACGGAGCTGCCAATTTCCTCGATGACGACTAACGATGGTTCATCGTTCAATAAGGTCTTGTGGTCTAAGTCAGGTACTGCCGTGTTTTTTTTCAATAAATTATACAAAATATTTTCAAAACGTAATTTGTTAGTGTTTATTTGCTTAGCCATTATTTCTGAGGTACACGTATAGAACTTCGTGATCACTTATATTTCACATAAGAAAGCGTTATGTATAATTATTGTTTTGTGTAGGACAGCTGCTCGCCGCCGGCAACGATTGTGGCCATATATTCGTTTATGAAGTGAACGAGCAAGTAGTAAATCCACGTTCGATTGAATGGTCAGAATTTTCAAAAACTCTTCACGAATTCAAGCAAAACCAAGTCGAATCAGATGAATTCTCTCAAGCTGTCGCTGCTATCCGCTGATGACCTTATTTTAAACAATATAATAATTTATTATCCGCGAGAATTAATTTATTTTGACGCTTTGTCTCTGAATATGTTTTATGCTATATTTCTTTTGTGGCAATTTACTCTACCTAAATATTCCCTTATGTTCCCACTTGAGTTTAATTTAATGGAATGAGGCTATTGTTGCCTTCCTTATTTAATGTTCGAATTCGAATGACGGGTTGAAAAGGCAATTGCGGCTTATGCCACAAATTGTTTCGGTTTCGTCTTTGTGCTGTTAGTGCAATTACACGTTGTTGTAAGGAAAAGTACATACGAAATATAGGTAAATGTTCCCCTGAAATATGCAGGAAATTGTACTTGAAATTTCTGCTCGAAACATTTGCTATGAAATTGTGGATGTATGCAATGGCTGCCAACTGGTATTTTCTACTTCAAGCCGCTTTTATAAAACAGCTCTTTCAGGGAGTAGCTGTCGTTCTAAACACTGTGCAATGTTCTGAGATTAGTTTAAAAAGAAGTTATCATACGGACTGTGGAATTTGGAACATTTTGTATCATTACACGGTCGAGGTCCCTCTTGGTGAGGACAAAGATAACTGTAGCTACTTTCGACTTTGAAAGTTGTGAAGCAGTTCAATTAGTAGATAATTTTTTTATCACAGCTGAATATAAGGTCTTTTTCGAGGTCACGCAAAATATAGTTGAGTCGGGTCTGATCATGGCATGAAAAACCAACGTGTTTAGTGTGGGTTAACGTTAAACGCATGATACTTTGTCTTTAATTATTACTTTGAAGTTCAAGATTAGAAAATTCAAAATCATTGCAATTAGCGAAGAAATTGTAGAAGTAAACGAGCAAGTGTAAAAAAACAGGCGGAAGATTCCAATTTGTGTGATTTGTATTATTAATCTGAAAAATTGATCATGCGCTGAGGATATATTAAAACGAATAAAATTCAGTTGGCTTAGAAAGAATCTGGAACCGATAAGATGCACACGAGGCAGGAGGTACTTATGTCTTTCAATCTCCGAGTGGTCATGTGTAGCAAGTAGAAACCATGGACATACTAAAATATGTTGCTGTTTGAAATCATATTTCTTGTTTCACACTCATAATAGGCACTTCCATCTTTGCCTAAATAATCAAATCAAAGTGCAAATAAACTCTAAGTGCATGAAGAACAGTAACGATTTTGGCACCAAAACACTGGTCATTGTCCAAAAAATCTGAGGAAAACTAGCCCAGGTTTGATGTCACGTGCAGGTGGCTCACCACTGAGACGTAAAGTCGTTGGTGAATTTCCTCTGGAATCAACAGTGACTGTTCAGTGATTGAATCTGAATGGATTTGCTTAAACAAGTTGCGTGGTGGTACCGCGCATAAGAGGTAGGTTTCGGGCTCCGGAGGTGCTGCCTTCAGGCCCTGTGAATAATAACCTTTGACTGAACCACAAATTTGCGTGAATGATTAAGTTAATTACATTGCTTCAGACTGGGGTTGCTATGACGTAAGATGCCATGCTCAGAATTAAGAGGTCTCAAGTTCGAGTGACAGTGACAGGAGCTCCTCCTTCTTTCTTACAAGGATAAAAAATGCTCCAGGCTGAAGAAAATACAGGAAACCACATGGCTCTTGTCGACTATCTCCTTAAGAAAAGCACTCATATCTGATGGCAAGGAAATGGAGATCAGCACCTCTCCATTAAACTAACGAAAAGAAAGCAACCAGAATAGTTTCATACTGAACAAGTGAGGAAGCCTGAAATTCTTAAGGTAAAAGCCTTATATTTCTTCATTTAAATAATCAAGGAAAAAGTCTGTGTAAGTAAATTATTTGTAAACGGACAGCAATTTTGGGCTAACTATTACATTCTCATGTTAAGAATAGTAGTATGATTCGAATATGTGAATGCAAAGCTAACCGCATTAAATTGAACCTGAAAATCTACTTGACAGGATAAGTACTGTCTCGTTGGCGCCTTTTGCTCGTTTCGTAAATGATTCGAAGGAGAGGAAGGTTTAACGAAGTGAAAGTTTAGTTCTTGACCAAGATCAGTAACATATCTTTTTTTCAGCGCAGATCAAAAATATAATTATCGCTGTAAATTAAGTACTAAATATGTACTATTTTTGGATGCTTGCAAGGTACGACGAGCACTGCTTGGATAAATTGTATTTGAAGCTGCAGAAATTTTGCTATTAATTCAGATCTGATACATTATTTCTGTGTGTATTTTTGATCCTTGCGACGTGCTGTGATCTGAAATTAAACTGTTTTCTTTCCCAGTTACTGCATAAGTGTTTAACAGTTTCTTGAATTTACCTTTCCCTGATTTTCGTTTTCTCAGTCTAACCCGTGCGATGTCACTATATTATATGCTGTATCTGTTTTATCCTCTGGAAATTTCTTATCCTGTTGAGGAACATGATCATTGATAGCATACATCTTTCATGTGTTTCATCGCATACCTTCTTTCCCTACATAGTAAGGTAGAGGTAGAAATAAACTTAACCTTAAACATTTTTCGCCTCCGCCATGGCAACCTTGTAGTTGATTCATATGAGGTC